GCGATGGAATGATTGGAATGTGTAAATGAGAAGAACGAATGAGTTGGGTTAGATCTGTGAAAACGAGTCTCTCTTGTTTTGACAGCGAGGTCAAAAAATAAAGTATTGTTGCCATATATTCAATTTGTAGTTAAATATGTTATTTCTCATATTTTTGGGATTATACTCTATTTCTGAACATCGTCGACTGAGATAAGATTAAACAAATTACAATAAGTTGAAGTGATAGTTGCAACAAAAGTCTCTATAAATAGCTGTAGAACATCAAGGTAACTTTAATGGGCAAAATGAATTTGCAACAGTTTTCTAAATAATGTGTCTAGAATAATTTAAGCAAATAGTTAATTAGTTCTTACATAACAAATGTAAAGGTTGTATAGTGGCACTAAATATATGGTTTCAAGTCGACTTCTTATTCTGCACTAATTAAGCCGTTTATTTTGAAAGTGGCCCAAACCCATTTATTTAATAATAAATTAATATTAATAATAATGATTATTAATAATAAGTTAATAACAATTATTTAATCATTTATAAAATCCAGAGATATTTAAAGACTTTACGTTTCAATAAAAAAGTGGTAATGATAGTATAATGTTTTTGTGTTTCGAAGGATTATTACGTTCTGGAGGCTTTGCTGAAATGAAATTATATACAGGGTGTCCCAGGTTTTAACGTTCAAACCTTGCCAGTGTATTCTATGGCACGAAGTAAGAAAAAAATGTTATGTAAACATAGGTTATATAGAGCTTCATTAAGAAGTTATAACAAAAATTCAGAATAGGAATAGTAATCAACTTGCTGTTACTGCGAGCATTGGCTTGAATAGATCAGCACATGCCGTGTGTTTGTGTAAACTGTGTTTATTAATACATTTCAAAATATCTACCGTTGTTGACAAATACATGAGTGACATCGATCGAAGATCGAATTTATGATCGTGCGAATTTCGTTTCTATTCTCTTTCATTTCATTGAACGAATTTTTGTTATAACTTCTTAATAAAGCTCTACATGACCTATGTTTGCATAACATTTTTTTCTTACTTTGTGCCATAGAATATACTCACAAAGTTTGAACATTAAAACCTGGGACACCCTGTATNACAGTTTTCTAAATAATGTGTCTAGAATAATTTAAGCAAATAGTTAATTAGTTCTTACATAACAAATGTAAAGGTTGTATAGTGGCACTAAATATATGGTTTCAAGTCGACTTCTTATTCTGCACTAATTAAGCCGTTTATTTTGAAAGTGGCCCAAACCCATTTATTTAATAATAAATTAATATTAATAATAATGATTATTAATAATAAGTTAATAACAATTATTTAATCATTTATAAAATCCAGAGATATTTAAAGACTTTACGTTTCAATAAAAAAGTGGTAATGATAGTATAATGTTTTTGTGTTTCGAAGGATTATTACGTTCTGGAGGCTTTGCTGAAATGAAATTATATACAGGGTGTCCCAGGTTTTAACGTTCAAACCTTGCCAGTGTATTCTATGGCACGAAGTAAGAAAAAAATGTTATGTAAACATAGGTTATATAGAGCTTCATTAAGAAGTTATAACAAAAATTCAGAATAGGAATAGTAATCAACTTGCTGTTACTGCGAGCATTGGCTTGAATAGATCAGCACATGCCGTGTGTTTGTGTAAACTGTGTTTATTAATACATTTCAAAATATCTACCGTTGTTGACAAATACATGAGTGACATCGATCGAAGATCGAATTTATGATCGTGCGAATTTCGTTTCTATTCTCTTTCATTTCATTGAACGAATTTTTGTTATAACTTCTTAATAAAGCTCTACATGACCTATGTTTGCATAACATTTTTTTCTTACTTTGTGCCATAGAATATACTCACAAAGTTTGAACATTAAAACCTGGGACACCCTGTATAACGTAGAAATCTAAATATTAAAACAGTTAGTTCGTTGTGTTTTTGAAAAATGGACTTAAGACACTTTCAAAGTAAACAGCTCAATTGTTATGCAAAAAGCTCGACAACAGCGATGGGCACTATTGAAATAAAATATTATTTAAATAATTATTCAAATAAAATTTTTATTTTATTTGTTGTTTAGTCTATCACCGTATTCGAAATAATCCTATTTGTTCGTCAACATATTCGACAAATAGATTATTCTCAAATAATTCATTTTCTATATAATTTCGTTATTTAATGTGGCAATGCGGAACAACAATTACGAAATAAAAAATTTGCAAAATAACAATTCTTTTCTAACAATTATATTCGTTATCGTTAGTTTTATCATTATTATATTATTACATTATTATTGTATTGGTAATGTTTAAACTTACTGTAAACATTTCATTGAGATGGTTTAATTCACTTATGTGCCTTGTCTTTTAGAAACGAAAAGAAAAACTGAAATTCTCCAATCACGCAAATGGAGATTATGCGAGTCGTTTCCTGAGACTAAAAAATAGAATTCAGAAAGACGCTTTGCATATTTACTTACTTTCGAACGTGAGTCATTTAATGCCGTCGTTGCTACATTTTCTCATCCACGCTTTAAAGCAAAATGGCTAAATGTAATAAATGAAACGAAACGGCAACGGATGTGTTTATAAAAACAGTTGCAGAAAATGCTCTTTCTAAACAAGGCCCGAAGATCGAAGATGATGAATTTAATTTTAGGCCTGACAAAGAAGACGAACATAATGCGTCCAATAGAAATTTCATAAATTCTGAAGCGGAATTAGCCGTTTTGCGATATCTTCACGATAAACGGAGATATACAGGGTGTCCCAAAATTATGGTACTTCCGGGAAATGAGGGATTCCTGAGGTCATTCGAAGTAACTTCTTCCTTAACGAAAATGTAATCCGCTGTTTTGTTCGCGAGTTATTAACAAAAAAACACTGACCAATGAGAGGCGAGCTCGGCCGCTTCGCGTTAGTTGATCTCGCCTCTCATTGATCACCGTGTTTTGTTAATAACTCGTAAACAGAACGGGGGATTGCATTTTCGTTAAAGAAAAAGTTATTTCAAATGACCTCAAGCACCCACCACTTCCCAAAAATACCATAATTTTTGTTAATTACGTGTTATACCACCCTTCTTCCATCATCAGTTCAGTTGAACGACTCGTTTTGTTTGCTATAATTATTGATAACAGTGCAAATCATGCAACTATCAGACGATATGTTCGAATATCGCGTTGTATTAAGTGCCAATAACCATCTATAATGAATATGCTTCTCATGTAAAAAAAGAGTATACGTTAACATGCATATTATTTATTATCCTGCGTTACTATTTAAAATAACGAAATTATTTGCAAATAATTATTTCTCAAATAATATTTCACAATTTATTTGCATGTATGTTTCTTTTCAAATAAAAAGCGCCGATCTCTGCTCGACAGCATTTGAATTTTTTGAAACTCGAGGTATAAAGTGCAATCATGATTCCCCCCTCCCCCTAGATGGTATTAAAAAGATTGAACTCTCACACATTTGGCAAGCTTTCTAAATCAGGTGTTCCATGCAACTGGTCTTCTATTTCTCAATGTTTATCAATGGATGGACGCGAGGTCAATTCCCTGCTACTATCCGCAGGGTCAGGAAAGCGGTTGTACACAAACAATCAAAACGTCTTCAAACAGGACGGTATGGAGTAACAGTATTTGAAAAGGAAAGCTGTACTCGCTCACCTACTTCCTGAGAGACAGCGGATCGTATGCAGATGTCTAGAACATTCTCGATCGACCGGTGCACTCAACTATAATGCTCCACGTCCATGTCTATCGACAACAATCTCGACAAACCAACCAATTCACTGTTCTCCATTTTTCCACCGAAAATTCCCTATTGTCCTTTCACAGGTCACACACTCCACAGATTCCTCGGATTCCTGATACGGGGACACATAATACTCGAAATTCTCTCGAAGCATCCGCTGTTCGTCCACTTCGGGCACTTGAAACTTCTGAAATCTCCAAGTTCTCCGGCTTTAAATGACGACTGGCAACACACCGTTCGCTAAGAATTCCCGAACAACACCGTGGAAAAAGGTTGTCATCGACGTAAAAAAGGTCGAGGATCTCAGGTGAAGGGGTACGTTGTCCCAGAAACGGGTCGAATTGTCAACGAAAGTGGCCGGTTAAGAGTCAGCGGAGCAAAGAGCCGAGCTCGGCAGGATCCTCTAGGCGATGCCCTAGAAACCGGAAGCCGCGATCGAGGTCGCCTTTTCCACCATGTGACGGTGCCCAGTGACAGCCGCGTGGAGGTCGGTGTGGGACTGACCATGACCTTGCTCCCGGCCGAGTGTCGGCACGCTGGATCCATCGGGATGGGAGCGGATTACGAACCTTTCGAAGTTGAGCACGCCCCATAACGGTTGACGACTGGCCCCCTCCCCCTTCCGTTACTGGCGCGGGCCCATTCCCATAGTGATCTACTGAGCGCGCCGGGCGCCCTACCTGGGCACACAGCCGCTCGGAGAGTGGGGCGAAGTGCCGTTTTCGGCGCTCGGAGAAACGCTTTTTCCTTGTTTCGTTTGGAGATTATCTCTTTCGCCTGGAGTCATGCACTTTTTCAATTAAAGATTGTTAGAACGTTTCCTTTTTCTTTTGCCATTAGAACTAGTCCTGATGTATACTGCTTTTCAACAATAACAATGACTTCGAATGATTTCTATTATAATTATTCTACGGATTTTATGCATTTGCGAGAAAATTCGTTTGGTGAAATACAAAACGCGTAAGGAATTTAAAAATACTTTTGCGCTACTTTCAACTCGTTAAAGTGTTTCAGAAAGGAAATAAATGTTTTTAGGTAGTTACTGTATTTTGCAATTAGTGCAGATAGTTTTTATTTTAAAATTCGCAGTCTAATTATCTCGAAGAAACTTATAAATAAATTTCGTATAGAAACGTTTCCATAAATCTCTTGTGAATGTAGTGATAATAAATATAAATAAAATATAAAATTAATAAAATATAAAATAAAATGTAATTATAACTGTGAAAGTAGTAATCAGAAATCAGTCATTTTGGTAGCTCTGAAACAATATAATACTTATTAACAATATAGTACTTGTTTTATTGCAGTAGAACTTAAATTATTCGAAGTTCCAATTCTCAACTATCTAAATCAAAATGATTCAAAATTAAGCTTCCTTCTTTGACTATCACACAAGTGCCCATAATAGACACAGAAAATCAGAAGTTTATTTAATAATATAAAGTGGATCCAGAAGATTCTATTCGAAGATGTTTGAAAACGTTTAAGCATGTTTGAAATGAATGACGTTACTCATGGGAAGGAAACCCAGCTATGTTGGGATGTGTTTGAAAGTGTATGAATAATATGTTGGAATGTGTTTCTTTATAAATGTGTAAAATTCTGACCCTAGATCTTAAGTTGTAATGTTGTAATGCTGATGAAAATAATATAGGAAAAAAACAATGTTACATTTGAAATTGTTCGGAAATGTTTGGAAACGTTGAAAGTTCTTTGAAGGTGTCGAAAGGTGTTTCAATATATTTAAGGGTCGTTTAAATTATTTGAAAATAGAAGACTCTTTATCTTCAATTAAGAAATCGTATCGTATTTGGAAGTGTTTGAATATGTTTAGAGGTGTTTTGAAGTCTTTAAAAGATCGTATAAAATGTTTATAGAACTGAGAAGACTATGTACTGTTCAAACATATTTGTAGGGGATGGACAATGTTTGAGAATGTTTAAATGGCTACATAAAATTTGTAAATAAAACTATGCACGTTCAAACAAATCGTAGAAGTAAACAGTTTATAAACAAGAAACATACCGATCTTAGTTGTCAATTAGAAGTATGGATAAAATACATTGGAGAGCGTTTGAAGGTGTTTGAAAGGTTGCAAATCATTTAATATTAAAATTAGTAATTATTTAAACAATTTTTATTCACGATTTTCCAATTCAAACATTTGTAATTCGAGAATTTTTAATACAAAATTTCATAATGTACAATAAGACACAGTTTTGAAATTATTCCGCATAATTTATACATATTATCTGCTAAGAAAATAATAAGTTCTCCATGTCCACGATTTGGACGTCAAATAAATTCACCGAAACGAATTCGAAAGAATGTCATAAATGGGATTTGGATTACCGTAACCCACTACCACAGATACCTGAAGAGTTAATACCCTCATCTAGCAGTTTCGAACTTTTAAACTATTCTGAACACGTAAAACGTTTATAGTAGTATGTAATCGTTTTCGCAATCTTCCTCGTACGAAATATTTAGTTGCGTTGGGGTGATACTACTCTGAAACAAAGAATTTTCATTGCTTATTAATACTCCTGTGACACGTGGACTGTTTAAGTCCAGGTATGTTTATTAAATGTTATTTTTCAGTTTTAACAATTATTATCATATGTTGTTTTCAGATTTTATTTAGCCAGAGTGACTTTATGGTCATTTTCTGCTGTAAGTCTTCTCTNTTTAACCCGTGATTATAGTCAATAAATATTCTATTTGTTGCAAAATTGTTGACTGTGTTTTACTTTGAGCATTTGTTTATTTCATTTTATTATAAGTTATGCTACCAGTATTGCAAGAACAATTTAATATTATTTTATAAAAACCGAAATACT